TTTAATCTTGTGAAAATATCATGTAAGATTTATTTGATTTATTGTTTGTAATTTTCACACATCGTTTATAATAAAAATAAATATTAATAATAGAGAAATTTTTAATATTAGTTTTTGTTCATAGTATAGGTTTTTTATTAACTATTATTTATTTTAACTCAAATTTTAAAACGATTCTTTTTTTTTAAGATAAAAAAAGGTAATTTAAATAAGAAATTTTAGAAAAAAAAAAATTTATTAATAACTAATTTGAATAAAAAAATATCAAGAAATATAAAAACGATTAGCCGTTAATTAAGTTTAAATTTTTAAATACATATATCAAAACAACATAAGAAAAAAACTAAAGTTATACTTCAATACTAAATCAATAAGAAGTTGCGTTTTTGTTTGATATTTTTTTATTATCATAAAAAAGTTAAAAAAAAATCGCAATCTGACGCAAACACTATGCAAGAAGTTTGGAAGTATAAAAATCTACTTCGTTGAAGTAGTTTCATAAGCGTGATACTAATTCAAACATTTGTTGACAAAATAATATGTAACAAATAAAAAAATATATAAAAAATAAAAAGCTTTTTATGAGCATCGTCTTCAGCAATTTTTATGATCGCGCTCGCCGACGTTATCTCGAGCGCACATAATCACGCTCGATTATCACAAATTCTAATTTTACGAGCGCGATATAACACGCTTGACAATTTTCTTCATCACAAGCCTTTTAAAATAATTCTCGGAACAATAAAGTTATTATCTGGAAACTTTGTTGGATACTTATGAGATATTTCACTAAAATAAGGTTGAAATATAAGTGGAGATATTCCACTTATAAAACTTAAAAACAAATCTATAAAAGAAAAAAGCAAAGCATTAAAAGACCTAGAGAAAGTGATGTCTAACAAAGAAGTTTCCCAAAAGTATGTTGTCCCAAAGAATATGTATATATATATATATATATATATATATATATATATATATATATATATATATATATATATATATATATATATATATATATGACTATTAATCAATAAATATTAAGTTATTTTACAGGGTTGTTCATTTTTATATGCGCGTCTATTCATTTTTATATATGTGTTTATTCATTTTTATATGCGCATTTATTTATTCTTATATGCACATTTATTCACTTTTATATGTGTGTTTATTCACTCTTATATGTGTGTTTATTCATTCTTATATGTGCGTTTATATGCAAGTCAACCACCCATAAAGTCTCTAGTATAATTTTATATAAACAATAAATAGGCTTTTATGATTTCATATAGATATATTTAAAATATAAATTAGGTTGTTGCCACTGCTATATATTTAAAAAATGGTTCCCAAGCCATCGGTGGATTTATGTAACTACACATATGGTTGTAAAATGGAATTAAGTTAAACTTTGTAGTATCCAAAATATTTTTAAGTTTCCTGATTATCCCACCCGTGTTTCGAGGCCTTTCTCCCTGTTATAAGTATGCTTTAAAAAAAAAAAAAATTTTTTTTCTTCAAAACAGTTTTTTTAAAACAAATTGTTCTTATTTTCTGGTAAACAAGGTTAAAAATACTTAAGACGAAAACTTTTTACATTCGATGATGGTTTATTTAATATAGTATTAGGTCTTTGTTTAATTTTTTATTAAGTTTATTGATTGATTAAATTATTATTCATCTAAGTATTCATTTATCTAGATTTAAATTTAATAATTCATAATTATTATTAATACTCAAATATTTACATTAAAGCAGTGCCAATCGTAAAACAAGTGAAAATGTTACAAAAGAGCTCATTGAAATGCTTAAGTAATTAGCTGAAACAACAAGCATTTCCACTTCTCCTAATTTATTTATGCACACAATTCATAATCTTGTTGTTAAGTCAAATAGAGTAGAATTTGACGACATGACTTCATTCAAGTCATTTTCTGATAAAAAAACAAGGTAAAAGACCTATAAATGCTCAAATAAAAAACATTATTGAAATATGCGTAGTAGGGTGTCCCAAAAAACAACATTTTTGAAAATAATCTGCTCTCACCCCCTAAATGTGTTCTATCTAATGCAAAAACAGTAGGTTTAAAGACCTTTTAAGGGGACCCTCGAATATTTAATGGGTCCCTAATAATTTCGAAAAAAAAGTTTTTCAAAAATATGTCAACCTGGTATTCAAATGAAGTGAAATTATATAAAAATTTTAAAAATAATATTCATTTCGAAACAAAATTGTTGTTTTTGGTTTTATTACATAAAAAACTGCGTTTTTTAAGAAAAAATAAAAAAAATGCATTTCTAATGTTTTTTGATAATTTTGATAAGTTAAAAATGTTTCAAAAGAATATTATTTTATATAATTTCGCTTCATTTGAGTACCAGGTTGACATATTTTTGAAAAACTTTTTTTTCGAAAATATTAGGGACCCATTAAATATTCAAGGGTCTTGAGGGACCCCTGAACATACTTTTTATTCAAAAAAAAATTTAAACCTAGTGTTTTTGTATTAGATAGAACACATTTAGGGGGTGAGAGCAGAATATTTTCAAAAATGTTGTTTTTTGGGACACCCTAATGCGTACAAGAAAACAATCTTTGTACTCAAGAAACAATAAAAGAAAATCTTTCCACAGCATGCTTCAATATATCTCAGCTTACTATTTCAAGAAAACTCAAACGCTCGGATTTATCAAGAAAGCCTGTTATGCATGTGCCAGAAAAATGAAACTCAACACGAGTTATTGATGCACGTTATGCATTTGCAAGCATATTTAATGGAATTTCAAATCAAAAGCTTATTTATTTGGATGAAACTGAATTTAATGTGCACACTAACAGCACATATTGTTATTCGCTAAGGGGTGCGCTAGCAATTTTATGGTCGTCTGCAAATTGTGGCAAGAATGTTAGTTAGATTTGTGCTGTTTCGACAATGGGAGTGCTGGCTTATAAAATAAAAACTGGAGGCTGGAATGCAGATTCATTTTTTACTTTCATTGCTACAATGTTTAGGAATGCAGATGTAGAAGCGCCTTGAAATAGGGATGGGGTAATCAGGAAACTTAAAAATATTTTGGATGCTACAGAGTTAAACTTAACTCTATTTTACAACCATATGCATAGTTACATAAATCAAGCACTGGTTCAGCAACTATTTTTTAAATAAATAGCAGTGGCAACAACCTAATTTATATTTTAAATATATCTATATAAAATCATAAAAGCCTATTTATTGTTTATATAAAATTATATTAGAGATTTTATGGGTGGTTGACTCGCATATAAATGCGCATATAAAAATGAGTAAACACGCATATAAGAATGAATAAATGGGCATATAAGAATGAATAAACACACATATAAAAATGAATCGATGAGCATATAAAAATGAATAACCCTGTAACAATGACATCTTTTATATAAAAATGTAAGAAAATGAATTGAAAAAAAAAACAATCAAGCAAAATATTTTAGGAAGAAATTATTGAAATCAACAGATAAAATTTGGTTGTATTGTATTTGCTTAACAGTATTCTCTTCACCAGTTCTCTGCCTACTACAAGAGATGTCTACAGTTTTTTTATAATTATATAAAAATAAAAATATTTATCTAAAATTATATTGGTGTATTAAACATTTTTGAATTAAAAATAAAAAAAAGTAAGAAAGTACTTTAATCTAGTTTTGGGTACAAAAAAAATAATTTTAATATTATTTAATATAATAAATTATTAATTAAATATAATAATATTTATTATGTTAATTAAATATAATAATATTTATTATAATAAATTGGGTACAAAAAAAAATAATTTTGATAAAATTAACAATTAAATGTGTTAAAGCATTTTGGAATATTCTTGATAATCCTTGCAGGAATTATATTATTGAATGTTTGTTGTTGAATAAAACTTAAATGTTGTTCAATGAAACTTTGATATTGTTCAATGAAACTTTGTCGTTCAATGAAACTTTGATTTCGTTTAATAAAACTTTGATGTTGTTCAATGAAACTTTGTTTGTTCAATGAAATTTCGTTTTTCATTCAATAAGAATATCAACTGCAGTAAGGACTAAACTATCAAATACGCATAAGAATATCAACTGCAGTAAGCACTAAATTATCAAATACGCATAAGAATATTAACTGCAGTAAGGACTAAACTATCAAATACGCATAAGAATATCAACTGCAGTAAGGACTAAACTATCAAATATCTAATAAAAATTTCTGCAATACTAAGTTCTAAGTTGTTGCTTTCCCTTAAATTTTCATAAGCATAAGAAGTTGAAAAATGTATTTTTTAGGTGTTAAAAATATGAAAACTTTTTTTTGTCAATTTTTTATTAGTAACAGTTTGTACATCAGTTCAATTTCAACAAAATACAATTCCCCCTACCCCAATAAAAAACTAAAAACTATCGCTTTAAAAGAACCTCGTACCTAGAGACTGTAACTGTTTTGAGTCTCAAAGACTCAGCATACTCTTTACAGGGATCATCTTTTTCCGAAGATTTCCGGAATTCCGGATATTTTTCTCAACTTTCAGTTTTTCCGGATATCAAAAATGTTTTCCATACATACAAGTTTTAGGAATATATTTTTGTAATGTATTTTTTTTTTTTAAGGCTTTTTCACTCATCACTCACACAAAAATTAAGAAAACTTAATAAAAAATTAAAAATAACTTAGCTGAAAGCAAAATTAAATAGAATATACAGGAAAATATTTTCCCGATTTTACCCGGATATTTTACCTAAATGATTTTCCCGATTTTTAAAATATGACCTGGATGATCTATGTCTTTATCTCCCCTAACCTTTCACCTCTTTCCTGTTTGTGCCACTGCTGGCAGTCTTAACAGAGCACAGTTTGAATAGTTTGAATGAATTAAATGGTTTTGCTGAATGAGTTGTTGTGAAAATAGGGATTTTTTTTATTTTTTTGTTAATTGTTTCTTTTTTTTTTATTGAAATTTTTTATTATAATTGGTTGTTATAGATTGGATAGAAGGCACATCTAATGGAGAAAATGATATTTACAAGAAACTATTTTTAAATGATCATAAACAAGAAAATGAAATGTTTATTGACTCAAAAGGTACTTTTTTATAATAAAAAGTTTTTTTTATTGCTTCATAAATTTTATATTTCATCTTTCTTTTTTCTAATTCCTCATATATGTAAATATTGAATTTATATAATTGGACTTAAGCAGTGTTTTCTTATTGACATTTGACTGAACTGCTTGAAAATCTAAATGATTTCAATCTTGATGTAACAATAGAAAAACCTGATTCACTATATTTAAACTTAATTCCAAGCTTGAAGAACTTAATATAGAATCCTAGTCAGTAAGTTATATGTTTCTAGTCAGAATTTCTAGTCAGTAAGTTATGTTTCTAGTCAGCAAATAGCAATAAGCTATATGTGGGATCATAGACCAATTGTAGGTTACTTGACTCACAATCAAGATGTTTTTGGTAACTTGATTCATGTTTTAAAGTTTTCTTTGATAATAAAAAGATTAATAAAAGTAAAATTAAAAAAAAAAAAAGCAGTCTTCTTGACTGTATTGGCTCTCTCTGTATTGGCTTCCTCTGGTTGGCTTCCTCTGTGATTGTGAATTTGTTTAAAAAGAAGAAAAAAAGTTATTTTTTTATATTATTTCATAGGACTTTAGTCATATTATTAATACCATTGACTCAGTCAAGTAGATAGTTCAAAGTAAATAGATATGGCACTGTATACATATTAGGGCATACATGGCAATTACTTAGAGAAAGCTCATACAAATGACAGTAAAGAAATCTTGATATCTCAATGAGTCAAAACTTAATGGAAATTACTTTTTAATAAACTATTCAGAAATTCAGATCTGTTTAAAACTTTTCCTTATAAAATTTCAGAAAGATAAAAAGAATGATAAAAAAAAATGTTTAAGCTAAATTTTTTTGATTAAAACAAAAGAATAAATGCATACTAAGAAAAACTAACTTTTTTATTTTAGTCGAACCTCGCCTTCTTTGTTTTGTTGTAGGCCAAAAAGTCAGCATAATATATGCTGCAATTACAGAATTGGTAATTTATCCAAACGTGTTTTATTCCTAAGAGTTTCAGTACATGGCATCATTGATTTTTTTTGTTTGCGTAAAAGATCAATTATATAAACAAACAAAAAAATCAATGACGTCATGTACTAAAACTTATTGGAAATTACTTTCTAATAAACTATTCAGAAATTCAGATCTGTTTAAAACTTTTCTTTACAAAATTTCAAAAAGATAAAAATAATGATAAAAAAAAATGTTTAGGCTAAATTTTTTTGATTAAAACAAAAGAATAAATGCATACCAAGAAAAACTAAATTTTTTATTTTAGTCAAAGCTCACCTTTTCTGTTTTGTTGTTGGCCAAAAAGTCAGCATAGTATATGGCGCAATCTACAGTCTACAGATAATTTATTCAAGCACATTTTATTCCTAAAAGTTTTAGTACATGACATCATTGATTTTTTTTTGTTTGTTTAATATGAACACTGTCTCGATCCCTTTAATAAATTAAAATTTTCAAAATCTTTTTAAAATTAGAAGTTTTTGAAACTTTGTTTCTAAAATTTACTTCTTCTTTTCTAGGTGTTGTTTTTTTGTTTGTTGTTTTTTATAATTTACTTCTAACCAAGCTGTTAGCAACCACTACTTAAGTTAGTACTAGAAAGCAGTTAGAACAAGAAAACAGTTGACAGAAGGCTTAAAAAGCTGTAAATTGAATGAATTAGGATATGAATTAATATAGAAGAAAATTTTAAAGTACTGATGTGATAAGGCCTCAAGCATGGATGCAGTCTTAAGCATATATGTGGCCTTATAAGGATGCTTATTTTTTTTTACTACGTCATTCCATACTAGGGTCAATAAAGGATTTTCAAAGGTAGAGTTTAATCTTAAAAATATGAGAGATTATGAGATTAGTAATCTGAGGTTATTGACCTTTTTTTTTGGCAATTCTTTTTACATCAATTTCTTAAATGATCATTTTTGCATCGATTTTTTGCAATATTAAAAATACTTATGTTTTCATGAAATTTAATCAGTTTTATTAATGAGAAGGTTCAATAATATTCTAGCCAAGTTTTGAGCCACTGTCAAATAAGAAAGTTACGGAGAAAATTTTTTATTTTGAATTTTTCTTATCAGTCCTTTATGAGTTATTAGTAATGAAGGTGAGTAAAGAAGGTGAGTAAAGTAGAATGAGGTATTAATAATGAAGGTAAGTAAAGGAGGAATTCTGGTATTTCCTTAATGGAGATTACAGAGTGCAAAGTAAGGTTGAAAACAGGAAATACAAACCAGTTAAGGACAAGAAGTAGTTTAAGTTGTTTGAAATACAAGTCATGCTGATCTGAATAAGAGATTGAGTAAGACAAAAGCTTACTCAATCATGTCATGTCAAGTAAGTTGACATGACATGAGAGTTTATAGTGTCAACAGGATCAGTGGTAATAGAGTCATGCTATTACATAAAAAACTAATATTAGAGTACCAATATTACTAATATTAGAGTACCAACACTGATGAACAAGAAAAAGGGTTTGAACAGATTGAGCAGGAATACAATTTGTGCTGTCTTGGGATTGAAAAGATGTTTAATAGAAGCACATAAAAGTGTATCAAAGAATTCAAACTTGGTTTCAAACCAAATAAGTGAGTTAAGTACAGTCGAGAATGAATCAGAGCAAAATTGCACTGAGAGGTTAAATAGTTGAATCAGTCTCTTAATGAGCAAGTAGATTTGGTGAATTTTGCAAAAGGTTCGACAGATAAAAAAGTTGCTTTAAAGACCACAAACGTAGCAACAAAATCAAAACAGCAATTTTTTGTAGACTGGAAACAAATTCTGCTGTAAATAAAAAACCCTTGTTGCTTCTACGTGGTCCACATTGCCTAACTGCGAACTTCCTTTTAGTCTTATTTTTAGATCTTTGGTCCTTTAAATATTCTTTTTCTAGAACAGTGACCTAAAACAATGTATTTTAGTTTAAAGTGTATTTTAGTTTAAAGTTGATAAAATATAATTACCTAACCTACCATTTTTGTGAATTGTATCTGTAATAATAATGCTGGTAATGCTGTTTTTAAATGCTGGAATTAGGAAAAAAATGTAGTTTATTACCAGAAACAAATTAATTTTGACCATTTACTGAAACAAATTATTGAAAAGGATTGCTGGAAGGGTATACTGACAACAGGCAATAATAGACAATAGATGGAATGATTGTATAGGCTGCAACTGGAAACATTCAATTACAATTGAGGTCTATCATAAAAATCTTTTTTTTTATGTTTTTTTTTTATTTTTTCCTGAAATTAAAAACTTTTTGAGAATATACATTCTAAAAGTTATTCATTTTGATTTATTTTATCTAGTTACAACTTTATATGGATAAAATGATGGTTTGTCGTTTCTTTTTTTCTTTTGTTTAATATACGGGTGCTAAAAGATTTTATTATATTGTAATAATCCCAAAATAATATTTGATCCTAGGGAATTAAAACTCTACCAAATTGCATGTTTTGTTGTTGTTTAAAAATACTTTTAGATGCAAAAGAGAAAGAAATTGAAGAATGGGTTAAAAAAAACTTTGTGAAACAGCACACAGAGTACAATAGATTTTCAAAAGATCAAGTTCATAATGTAAATAAAAACCCTTTGGAAATTCAAGATAAAAGGTTATTATTAGTTTAAGATTTTATTTTTGTTGCAGAAGACAACTTTAATTTAAATTTTCATTTTGTTGCAGAAGGCAACTTTAATTTAAATTTTTGTTTTATTGCAGAAGGCGATTTTAATATAATTTTGTTGCAATTTTTATTAGTGGAAAAGTTTATAATTATTTTTTTTTCCTTTAAAATAAAAAATAAAAATTAAATGACTGTTCAGGTGAAAATGAAATGAAATAAATAAACCGTTAGAGGGCTGTGTACAAAGTGATTAAAATGCTACGCAGCAAACAACTAAGTATTGTCAAGTAACAAACGCAATTTTTATTGGATTTTATGTTGTATATTATAAATCTTTTTATTATTTTAGTTATAAAATGCGTCTAATATTAAATTAATCAAAATTCATAATTATTTGGTTCATGATTTTTGCTTGGAAGCTGAACCAACATTATTGATAGAGTGTCTCATGCAATAAATAATACATTGTAACTTCTTATTTTGAGTATAATTTTTTTTTTAAATATCAGGTCAAGCTTGTTAAAAATAACACAACAAAGATTTAACAAGAAATCTAGAAAAATGGGCAAAATACTTCAAGTAATATTTTGTGTTGCTGTTGACATTAGTTGACACATTATTATGTAGAGGAAGTTTGTGTACCTAGGGCTTGCCCCTTTACAGCCTCGGACTTGTCTAAAAATAGTGAAACTGATATTATCACATCTCTATATTAATTACTTTGTATTAATAATAGGTAATGACTTAAAATACATAAGTCTGTCATGTAGAAGGATTTAAAAATTAGTGGCCCTGGGTACAATAAGCTCTTTTTAATTATGCATAGGGCCACCAGCTATTGTACTTAGGGCTGCTCTAAAAATTAGGTTCAACTCCATAACAAATAGACAACAAAAATAGACATAAATTTTATAAAAATTTGTTTAATCTAAAATTTTCTATTTTATTTATTTCGTTGAAAATGTTAAATCTTTATGGTTCTATTTAAATCAAAAAATTTTAAATACGTTTTCCTTTCATTTTGCCTTTCTTGGTGCATGTTGAAATGCAAAAATGTCTTTTTCTGGAGTGTCATTGAGAACTGGGCATCAAGAATTTGGCACCTGGTTTTCTACCCCTTTTTTTAGATAAACAAAGTTTTGCTTTTGAAAAAGGGCAGATCTGTTCTTATTTTATACATGAAATAGATTTTGATAGAGAAAAGTTTGTTTCTGATAAATTCATGAAACAGTTGTTATACGATTTATCAATCGTATAAATTTATTTATGAATCTTTAATTAACTCATTTTTTTAATCAGAAATATATTTATTTGGGAAATTTAATGCAGGATCTTGTCTGTCAATTACACTTTAACTCAAATATTCATCACCAGTGAATATGTTTTGATTAAGTGGCCATACATCGAGCACATGAAAACCTGATAAAATGTTTAAAGGAGTAAAAGCCAAAGAATATGATTTTTAAATGTTCTTTGCAATGTCATATATGATTGGCTTTCCTTGATTTGACGGTATCCAATTAATACAAGCTGTGCTATAGTATTTTTTTAAGGTCCAAACACACCTCTGTCTATTGTCTGAAGCTTAAAACTCTGGCTTAAGCCCTTTAGCCAAAGTAATTGCTCCAATACTGACATGAATTTCATGGTTATGCAATAGTAATAATACTGGCTGATCTACAGAACACTTGATTTGGTAAATAAAATGTTTTGAAAACTCTAAAAAAATATTTCACCACTTGATCGTCCATTTATATGTGCTGTTCACTTAATTCTTGAAGGTGCTCATTTCAGCATATGATTTTTGAATTTTTCTTGGAAAAATTATCATATAATTTCCAATTGCATTCTTGCATTCATACACCTAAAATAGTTATATTAGTTCCTCGTTCACCAGAAGTTAAGCTCCCAATTGTTTTTTGTCTTTTTGGGCAATAACCTCAACAGGTGTGTGCACTTTTGTAATTACTGATTCGTCCACATTAAAAATTCATTCAGGCAAAAACATATTTTGAGAAGGCTTTAGGATATTTTGATAAAAATAATGAAACATTTACTTTGTTGAAACAGGTGGCTCTTGCTAAACTTTTTGCTTTCGTCTTCTTTAGTGAATGAAATTTTATATTTTCTTCATACAATCAGAATGCTATTGCTCACCGGCATTACTATTTTTATACCAGGAGGGTGGATATTTTTTGTCAATGGCTTTTTTGTACTCAAAAGCAAGATTTTTCATACTCGGAAGCAAGTTTTTTCATACTCGAAAGCAAGCTCTTTCATACTCAAAAGCGAGCCTTTTAAGCTATGACTTTGACAGTCCATAAACGCATATTGCTTGCAATATACATTTATGGACTATAATACGTTACCCCATACGTTAAAATGTTGTGTTGTAGTCCTAACAGAAAATCCTTCATTACTGCTTCTGCAGTAAGAATAGTTCTATCTGTATGAGGTTTTAAATGTTTCCTTTATTATTCTTAGGCATCTAAAAAAACGGTTTATAAAATCACAACTTTTAAAGATTAAAAAAAAAAAAATTAAAAATACCTTTTTAAAAAGTAAAGATTTAAAAAGTAAATTTAAAAATGTTTTTAAAATGTCTACAAAAGGTGTGTAGCAAAGTTTCTTTTAATTAAAATATATCACATTGCTCTACATAACTGTAAAGTATACTAGTTCGTATTTTTACACTTTTTTTACATAATTACATAGTTCATCAAGTAACACAATTTGATTTAGATAAATAAAAAAATTGAATAATAGTTTCGAGCAAAAAATTGGCGAAGTCAAACGCTTAAAATGTGATTAAAATTCCAAAACAACCGTGAAAAAAAACGCACTGTACCAATCGAATTTCAACAATCTACCTCGTGATCAAACAAGTTTTTTTTCAGAGAAACACGTATATTGCCTTAGTACAAGACTTGATAGTCTCATGAAAAACGACATCTATTATCAAACTCGGATTGAGAAGAAGAATATTGAGAATCAAAACTATTATTGAGCATTGCATTTAATACTTGAGTAACAAGCAATATAATATACAAGAACCTTTAGAAAAGCATTTCCTCTAATATTGTAAAGCAATATAAAATACCAGCAGCAAAACTATATTTTAGACAATCAAAAAGCGTTTTCCGAATACAACTTTTCTTAGCAACGCTCTCTGATAATCAAAACAAGATTAAAATAAATAAAAAATTTTATAACTAATCACATAGTTGAGAAACTTAGAACTTAATAGTTTTTAAATAAAATAGGGTGGCACTAGATACAAGGAGGCCCTCGAAACACAAACTTCCACTACTCATTTACTATTATATTATTACTCATTTACTAAATAACATGTTATTAAGTACTTGTTTACTAACTAAGGTGTTTTTATTTATTTTTACAAGCTTTTTTTTAGAAAAATAATTTTACTGAACTTTTGGATAATAAAAATCAATGGCGACAAATAAAAGGTATTTTGGAACAACGGATGAATAAAATTGCGAAATTAATCGGTGAAAAGTGACAATAATGTTTTGCTTTTTATTGTTTTTTTGTTTTATTTTTTTTATTATGTATATATTTTTTTACAAAGCTATTTATGTAATTTATTTGTTTTATTTATTTTTTCTTTTTCTTTTATTCATTAAATTAAAAATAATCAATTTTTTTATTTCTCATTTTTAAAGATTTAAGTTTATTTTTACATTTATTTTAAGGACATCTTTTTATTCCTAGTTTTTTATATCTTATGACCTGTTGTTTTGAACTTTTTTTTTCTTTCTTTAATTTATTTATTACGCTTTCATTTTATTTAAAACTTTTTTATATTTATCAAGTTTATTCTATAAATATAACAAATAATAATAGCAACAATTTAAATATAAAAAATAATAGCAATAAATTTAAATAAGTTTAATATAATTTTATCCGGTGGTAGAGGTAGTTTTATTCTCTAAACATGATGTAAATGCTATTTTTATGTGTATAATTTTAACATGAATAATTTTTGAAATAACTTGATCCGATTTTCCTAGCCAGATAAATCACTTTTTAAATCATTTAAGTTTTATTATATTAAAAATACTAAATTACGAAATTTTAGGCAATAATAATAAGTTAATATCATTTATTAACTCTATTGTCCAATGAATAAGATGATCGAGTTTTTCTGTGTTAACAAAAATTTCTAGAATATATAAAATCTAAATTATTACCCCTCCCATGAACATCCATGCTTCTTTTTTTGTCTTCGAAATCCTAATTTTATGTTGTGTTCACGCTTTATTTTTAGTTTAATTTCTGGCAATTTTTAAGTAATAGTTACTTTGGGAAATACGGGGCAGTAAGATACAAATTTCTTTAATCTGGGTAATGCAAATGCCTGGGTAAATCAAGGGAAGTATAAGTATTATCATAGTATAAAGCTTATTTCTAAATGTTTAAATAGCAAGTAAACCATTTAAAATTTTTATACCATATTTACTAAGTTTTTATAAATGGATCTCGTGATCTATTGTATTGAAATCCTTTGACAGATCAATAGTTGTTATAAGTGTATATTGGTTTTTTACAAACTCATTCAAGTTTCGTTAACTAATTTTATTACTGCATATTCAGTTCAATTGCTTTTTTTAAATCCGTATTGGTTATTAAAAAGGATATTTTGATTTTGGAGATGTATAAATGCTAAGTAAAAGCATGGGAGTATGGAAATAGGTCTATAATTTAAAAAAGTAGAGTTTAAACTTTAGCTTCGCGTACTAATTTTAAGTGTTAGGAAAAACTTTAATAACATTACAAAATTCTTTGATCACCCTTAAGTTTATGTACCCGGACTCTTTTTTGATTGTATTACTCTATTACCTGGACTCTTTTTTGATTGTATCGTTTAAAAAGCATTTCAAAGCTCATCAGAAAATAAGTTTTTTCTTTAATTCTATTAACTTGTGTTTTTCTGATGTTGATATAATTTTTTTATGATTAATAAAATTGTCATCATTATTTATGATGATAGATTAGTAAAAAACACAAAAAAAAAACAACACGAATTTTAAAAAATGCATATTTAAAATTTTAACGATTGTAGATTGTTAAAAAAAAAAGAATATAGGGGAGACCGGGGTTGGTTGCAACAAAATTTTAAAAAACGTAATTTATACCCTTTAAATGTATATTTTTTCGATTTTATTTTTCAGGGTTATAAAATAGATTTTAGTTACGTATTAATCCAACATTGATAAACAAAATATCAAATTTAGTTATTCCGCAATAGTGAAACAAAAATATGTTGCATTTTACCTCGCACCGGGGCGAATTGCAACAGTGCACAGGGCAAGTTGCAACACAATATTTTTAAAGTATATGCTTTGCAGAGTTTATATAAAAATTACTAATCTGTAATTTCTATTTGGCAACAAAACATTATAATTAAAATAAAAAAAAAGTCGTATTTTAGACTTGGCGTGTGCTTGACATGTTTAGTAAACTAATGCTTACATTCAAATACTTTAAAAACTGAAAAAAGAAAATAATGAGGATTGTTATTTAAGATCATATATTATTTAAACTTTTAAGTGTTTTTTTAAAAAAGTATTCCTTTAGTTATTCAGTAAATATCAATTTATAAAAATGCAAGAGTAGTTTTATAAATAATATAAAACACAACTTTCATAAAAATAAACAAAAATCTAACTTTGATAACAAAAAAAAAAAAATTTCCAAGCAATAAAGGCTCATAAAAAAACAAACTAGCATTAAAGAAACTTAAGAGTTTCATTACATTTCAAGTCAACAATTATATTTTTTTATTGTTTTTTTTTTGATGCAGAAGTACTAGCAGATTTTTGCTTTCTAGAACTAATTTCTTTTTAAGCCATAAGATGCTGTTTTACTGGTGTATCTGTGAGTATTTCTGTATGCTTTCTCTTTGATCTAGTGAGTATTTCTTTCCTGGGTCGTGCTTTTGGTAGCGGTCTTACAACCTCAGGGGAAAATTTTGAAACCGCAGATGAAATTGCATCTGAGGTTGAAGTTGATATACTAATATCAATAGCTGCATTAGATTGGGTTGCTGGACTATCCGTAACAAATGATGGAGCAAAATCTGTGTTTGAAAATATATCCTTATTATATGACAATATTCCTGCCACTCTAAAACCAGAAGATATATTTTGTTGTGTAAGAAAATGTTATAATGCTATTTTTTCAGTTCCTGGTAAATCATATATACTCATTGTTTTCCCTGGACTACTTTTTATCCATGAGTCTTGTGCATTAACTAAGTATTTTTTAAATGGTCCGAATACAGATCTATCTAGAGGTTGCAACTTATGCGAGCAATTAGGAGGGAAAGAAAGCAAAACTATGCATATATATATATATATATATATATATATATATATATATATATATATATATATATATATATATATATATATATAACTTTGATAACAAAAAATATATATATGTCTTTGAATATAAAAGATAAGTTTATATTCTATGTTTATAATATAAACATGTTTATATTATATAACATATAATGTTTATATTATATAAACATAAATATGTTTATATTTATATTCGAGGATTATATAATCCTCGAATATGAATATAAATTATATTTATATTCGAGGATTATATAATCCTCGAATATAAATATAAACATAAAATATAAACTTATCTTTTATATTATTAGACATATATACATATGCTTTATAAATATAACATACATATGTACGTTACATAGCCTTATCTTTAAAATTATAATTTTTTTTCAAAAACTTATTTGCTGTCTTGTTATTAAAAAAATGTCCATTATTTAAGAAATAAGTAGAAAAGTGCGTAAAATCAATAAAATCCGCAGTTCTTTTGTGATTCAACTTACCCCGAGCAATTTGATACAACTTACCCCGTAGGCATCATGATCACTCTAATCAATGCATACAATTAGTCATATTTAAAAAATCTATTTTTTTTTACTTTTTGTGTTTGAAAAAGATTTTTTTAACTTACTTTTATTTTATTATTGTCATTTATTTCTCAGTTTTTTGTAAAACCCAAAAAAACATTGAAACGAAAATTAGAAATTTATATAGAAAAAAAAACAATTATCAATAACTTTAAGATTTTCAAATTTATTACTATAAGTTTTTTATAACTTGCGTGTCATAACTATAGTTATATAATGTAAAAAAAATTGAAAAATAATATGTAAAAATTGCTCTTTAAAACGCATTGTTGCATTTTACCCCTGTTGCAACCAACCCCGGTCTCCCCTACCTTCTAACAAAAAAAAAAAAAAAAAATGAAAAGAAAAAACAGATTTATTTTAGCAGGGTAATTCTGCTGCCCCTGGCAACATTCATAGCAACGTTAAAAAATGAGATTATTTGGGGAACAAAGAAAAAAGTAAGACCAACAAGAAAAGAGTTTGATGATAAACAAAATATTGAAGAGAAGGCAGCACATAAAATAAAATAAAAATAAAATAAAAAAATATGGAAGGAGAGGTGGGGGAGGGGAGGGGTTTTCTGTTTTTGTATGTTGCTTAGCATTAATTGGATGATCAAACATGTTGATAGAAAGCTATTTCGATAAACGTGTTTAATGTGTATATTATGCAGACAATAAAATATATAATCTGTCTTTAATAGAGTGTGGCGTCCCTCAGAGATCAATACTTGCTTTTTTTAATCTATGCAACGATCTCTGTAAGGCATTGAAAAGATTTTCAACTATAATGTTAGTTGACAATAAAAATCTTTTATGTCTAATAAAAAAAAGATAATAGAAGATAAAAGATAAATGGAAATTTTTTTATTGAAAATAGGATAATAAGTAGAGATCACTGATCTTTATAATAACTATTTTTAATATTTATTTGTTATAATTACTAACATTAACATTTATTATAGTGATCAGTGATATGGATGTTAGTAAATTTTTGGGTGTTTAACCACTAATCAAACAAGTCATCTAAACTACCCCATGCTATATTACATGGCATGGGCCCCATTTTTTTTTAGGTATCACCCCATAATGGGGTAGTACCTAAAAAAGTAAACTAAAATACCTTCATGATAAAGGTTTAATTGATAAAGTTTATCAGTAAGTAAACTAGTGTCTCTATCGTGAACAGAAGCATACTATAGGTGTCTAGGCCGGCGCGATAGGGGGGTGCAGGGGTGTAAGACCCCCCCCATCAATGATTTTTAGTCGGCATATTGGACCCTTAGTCGGCAAGTTGGACCCTTTTAGACTAGTTAGTCGGCAAATGTCGACCCTTTTGATATAGGTTAGTCGGTAATCTAGACAGTCGGCAAATGTCGTCATGGCAGTAGGCAAACTTTCGAAAACGAGGATCTTTTTTTTTTTTAAAGTCAGCAAACGTTGTAATGGCACCCCGCCCCACGTGATACCTACTGGCGCCGGCCCTGGTAGGTACCATACCTACCAGTGACTAGTTTTAAAAATAAAAAAGAACATTCAAATTTTCTTTTTGAACAAATGTCTTTATAACTAATAAAGACATTTCCATTTAGTTCTAACAATCCTAATATCATTATTATTAGGATTGTTTGAACTAAATGTATATCATGTTATAAGTCTCATGTTTAATTATAAAATCCAAAAAAAATTCTTCAATTGATCTATTTAAAATTACATTTCTGGAAAAAGACTCTACTACTTAATTTAAATATGATTGATTTTGAAGATTTAAATTACTTTTAAATTATAAATATAAATTATAAAATTTAGTTATTTTTTGTAAATTTATTTGCTGCTAACTCTTTAAATAATTTCTTATTTTTATATTTTATATAAATATTATTATATTCATATATAATAAAATTTATGTTTAAAAGTTTATAATAATTTAAATTTATAAATATATTTTGAACAATGCATTAGCAAATTCATATTATATGTAATGTATATATTATATATATATATATATATATATATATATATATATATATATATATATATATATATATTATATATATATATATATATATATATATATATATATATACACATTAAAAATGTGCATATATATATATATATATATATATATATATATATATATATATATATATATATATATACACATTAAAAATGTGCATATATATATATATATATATATATATATATATATATATATATATATATATATATATATATATATTATATATATATATATATATATATATTATATATATATATATATATATATATATATATATGCACATTTTTAATGTGTATATATATATATATATATATATATATATATATATATATATATATATATATATATATGCACATTTTTAATGTGTGTATATATATATATATATATATATATATATATATATATATATATATATATATATATATATATATATATATATATATATATGTATATATATATATATATATAATATATATATATATATATATATACATATATATATATATATATATATATATATATATATATATATATATATATATATATATATATATATATATATATATATATATATATATATATATATATATATGTGAAATATTTAAATATCTAAAAATAAATAGGATGAATATATTTATATACTTGTTAATTTACATTCTAATATCATTATTATGTAATAATTTTATGTAAAATTCTATTGAATATATTTTAATATTATTATGCTATTAATTTAAACAAGAATATAAAGAACTGCTATACGATGTAAAGCGGTTCTTGATATTGATCTTCATTTCGTCTTCTGCAAGTTTTAAGTGTTTTTTGCTTTCTGCAAGTCCAGTGTTTTTTTTAACAGTGTAACAGTACACTATTCACAATTAATTTACTAATTATATGAAAACCACTTTGTGAAAAACGCTTTTGTTAAACACATTTTATTAAACAAACAATAACCAGTATTTGAAAAATTAGAAACTTTTTAATAGTTAAAAATGAAATTTTTTAGTTTCTAATTTTTCAAATGATATATAAATAAATTTTGGTCTTGTTTTTGAGGTTTTCTCTAATTATTGTACTGGTCCTTGTTTTTTTTTACAAAATGATCAACAAATGAGTAAACTTTTTTTTTGATAAAATGAACTTTCAATGCACTTACAATTTTTTATGAGTGTAAAGTTTTGTATTCTGTTTTCTTCTTTAAGTTTATTCTTTCAAAGAAAGTTCATGTGTACCAAAATAAAAAATTTCCACTTTTATTGTGGGTAATGGATGAATAAGTAAACCTTGGTAAGTGCTAATTTTCCTAGTGATGGCAAAGTAAAGATGGCATATATATGATGGCATATATGGTTTATAAAAATTTTTGATGACCTATGTAATATTGTCAACATTGACCAAAAATTATAATTTTTTTTTTTTTTGATCCTGAAAAAGAAACAAAGACCAGTGTAAAAACATTAAACATTGACATTTTAACTTTGTTGGCTTTTTTATTTTCTTAAACTTAATATAAAGTTTCCGACTCATAAAATGCCAACTGTTTTAAGTGCTAGGGCCCATAAAGTGACCAAAAGGCTCTGCTATGCTAATGCATAGCACTCTCATAGTGTAATGACCCTGATGTGCTAGGTCTAGGATCTTTAAAGTATCAACTGAGCTCTGCTACTTTAGATTTAGTCTTGAGTATTTTTCTTAGTGTTTTTGAGCAAATTACACACTAGAGTACTTGTTGTTCTATTTTAGTTTCTATTGAGATACAATCTATGGATTTTTAAAAGTAGTCTAATAATATTATGTTTTTAGTTTAATAAAATTTTTCATCTTTTTATGTAAATTTTCACTTTAGATTTATTTATATTAGTTTATTAATTATGCAAACAGTAAGTGTTGATCAGCTTTCAAAACTTTATGAAAATGGCTTATATGGAAGTTTGAAGCTATTGGTAAGGTTTTTAAAAACATTAAGTTTCAAGTAAATAAAGCATAAAATATCAAATTTTTGCCCTGACTGAAATTATTTTTATCTATATATGATTAAACATTTATAGATAATATAACGATTAAAAATATAATTTTAAATTTTTTTATAGGCATCTTTTCAACTTTCATTATCTGCTTTTACAATATTAAAAGATGATGACTTTCAAACTGCAGCTTTGAAATACCAAATTCTTATATTGTATGGGGATTCTCTGTATAAAGAAGGAGATTACAAAATGGCAGAAGTGAGATCATTTTTATATAAGCCTATTGTGCTATAAAATTCTTGTTTAAAAAAATAGCAGAGTAGTAGAAAATTATAAATATATTACAATTATCACATTGAATATTATGACAAAGAATATATTAGGGGTAAACATCCCTCTCTTCTCAAGATAAACTTCATATAAAAAAGGTGTAATATTAAAATACATTAGTTTTTTTATTTTAACACTTTTTTTTTATTTTAACATCTTTGCTTCCAACAACGCTGCAAATAACCGCTAGTTAGGGTTGGAAGTTACTGGAAGAGAAAAGATAAAAATTTTAGAGCAAGATAACAATTGACAGACAACTTAAAAGATTGCAAATTATATGAATCAGGAAAGCAAGATGAAGGAAGCAAATTCCAAAGAACTGATGTTCGAGGAAAAAAACTAGACGAATAAGAGTTTTTAGAGCACTTAGGAACAGTCACAGAAAAAGGATGAGACTTGAATGAATGGCGAGTAACACGAAAATAAATCTTAGTAGATGGCACAAGAGACGCTAGCTCTTTAGAGCAGTGCCCATTATAGTATTTGTAGAAAAGAGAAAGAGAAGCAACATTACGGCGATGTGATAATGGTTTAAGGTTGGCTGCAAGAGCAGGTCCAACTATGTTTACAATGTGTTTTTGCACCTTGTCTAAAAGAGAAAGTATATCATTAGAAGATCCGCCCCAGATATGACAACAGTATTCCATACAAGGCCGGATTTGAGATTTATAGAGATAGAGAATAGAATTCAGAGTATCAAAGTGTCGAGCTTGATAAAGAGATGCAACTTTAGCAGATGCTAATTTTGCAACGGATTTGATTTATGGCTTCCAAGAAAGATTAGAAGTAAGAGTTAATCCTAGAAGATGAAGGGTAGATGACTCATCGAGTATATTACCGTTTATAAATATAGGAAGGTCTAAATTATTGCGATAATGATTGGCTGAAAAAAATTGAGTTTTATCTGAATTAAAGTTCACCAGCCACTGTGAGCCCCATGCTGTAGCAGAAGTGAGATCCTTTTCAAGCTCAAATGCCCCTGTAAGAAATCAGAGAGTGTTGGCTTCTTATCAAGACACGAATAAATAGTATTATTATCAGCAAACAATGCCACTTTAGATGTGAGAATATCTGGAAGATTGTTAATGTAAATTAAAAAGAGTAAAGGACCAAAGGTTGAACCTTGAGTGACCCCTGAGGTTACAGAATAAGAAAAAGAGTGCTGTCCATCAAGGACAACTTTTATACTGCGATTGGAAAGGAAGGATTCAATAATCTTAAAGATGTTTCCAGATAAACCGTAAGAAGAAAGCTTATGGAAAAGACCAGCATGCCAAACTTTATCAAACGCTTTAGAAATGTCCAGAGCGGTGGTCTTAACCTCTCCACCTCTATCTAATGCGCGATAAAATCTATCGGTTATAACTGTTAGCAAATCAGCCGTAGAACGAGAAGATTGAAATCCATATTGTTGATCAGAAAGTAAGCTATTAGATTCAAGATAAGAGATTAAGTGTTTGTAAATTAAAGATTCAAAAACCTTGTTTATGATAGGAAGAAGACTAATGGGATGGTAGTTAAATGAATCAGATCACTCTCCAGAATTTTTAAAAATGGGGATAACAGATGCTGCTTTCCAGCAGGCTGGAAAACAAGACCCTAATAAGCACTTGTTAAATAGTTTTGAAAGGATAGATGACAGCTCCAGAGAACACTTCTGCAAGTCTATAACAAGCATGTTGTCTTGCCCATAAGCTGTAGAAGAGTCTGAGCAGGAAATCACTTTAAATACAGAAGCTAGAGTGATACGAATGTCAAGCAATGGATCAACCTGTTTGACTGCTATATCAGGTAGACTAGTGGAATCAAGAGATGATATTGATGAAAAGTTCTTAGCAAATAATTCAGCTTTGTCTTTAGGTGAGGTAACAAAGTCCATACAAAAAACCATACAAAAGAGGGAGTTACAGACTTGCCCTTATTTTTGATACTATTGAAGATTTTCCAGAAGTCATGAGAGTGATGAAATACGAAATTTCATGACCTGAGAATAGCAGGCTTCGGCGTTAGACAAAACCTTTTTACAATGGTTCCTAGCAGTAATAAACAGATGTCTGTTTTCTGGAGAATTGTTTTGCTTATAGATAAGGAAGTAATGGTTTCGATTGGCAATTGCAGCAGCACAATGTGAGGAAAACCATGGAAAAGAGTGAGGCTTGACCTGGAATCATCAAGAGGGAATAAAAGATTCCATGCCGGCCTGAATCCAAGAATTTATGTAAGAAGCACATTTGTCAGCAGGAAGGCGAAAGATTACCCAAGGGCCATCTTGAAGAAAATCATGGAAATAGTACCAGTCAGCTTTAAGGTTGTTGTATTTTTTGTCAACATAAGTCAACATTAATATTAAACAAAACATTTATGCTGTTGAGGAAGATTTTTATATATCTATTTTTTAGATTGTATACTAGGGGTGGGAATTTTTTAAGTGACGGACCTATAACTCTAGGTGGACTAATTACCTAAAACTTATAAAAGCATAAAAATAAATTATATAAACGCAAATAACCCTCTGTGCAAATCCAACTTAAAGTATCTTCAGTATCAATGTTTGAAAATTTGCTTAAATAACTCATATTGTTTGTTAAACAATATATAATAGTTAAACAATGTTAAACTATTATATATTATATATATTTAAATATAGTCTGTATTTTAGATGTATAAGATATCAGAAAATAATTTAATTGGACAAATTGATTGCTCTTCCAATATTTTAAAGTCAAGAAATTGTATATATGGAAATTTAATAGAGAATTCACTGATAGATTTTTTAAAATTATGTAAGACAAGGCAGATATTAGGAAAATATCATTTTTTATATCTTATAGAATTGGGTATTATTCCGAGATCAAGTGACGTTATTAAAGAAATCTCAATTGAAATTTGTCAATTATGGAATAAAATGATAATACCGTGTTTTACGGAAAAATCTGAGCAAAGAATTGCCTATTAAAAGTGAAGCCTGCTATTCAAAATTATAAATTTGTTATCAAATCTTCACAAAGTACAAATATAAAGACAATTACTATAAATAGCTGGGGTAAATTATTTGACTTATTTCCCAAAAATTCTGAATTTTAAAATCTGGAAGACAAACTCTTTTATGAACTTCAGAAATCTTCCAATAGGTGCAAAAGTCAGTGCAGTATTGTGACAGAGCCTATTGTGACAGAGCCTGCGAAACCTGCCATTTAAAAGAAAAGAACTTGAAACAAGTTTTAGTCAATCTTTTGATGATACAGAGAATTCTAGTAGTGAAAGTTCAGAAGATAATAGTACAAGTGATGATTACACAATCCTATTGAAACGAGCAAAGATCACTGGTAAAATGGTAGCTAAAATATCTGAAAATAAAGGGTATCCAGTTAGATGGCAAAGATTGCAGAAACTGTACTCAATGCTGATGTTGATGAGACATCGATTTGCAGATCGGCAGTTCATAAAGCATCTACAACACTCATGCATGAATTAAGCTTGATTTGGTCTTATATAGATTCTTCTGAAGAAATCTGGTGCTTACATTTTGATGTTAAGAGCATTTACAAACAACATTATTATAGCACTTACATTTCGAGCAAGTCTAAATCTTTGGTAATATCTTTGAAAAAATTAGAGAAAGGCAACTCTGTTTCTATTTATAACATGTTACATAATATTATTTTGGAATTTAATTTATCAAATAAAATTTCCGTTGTAATATGTGACACCACTGCAGTAAATATAGGTTCTAAAAATCGAGTAATAAGGCGTTTGACAAAAATTATTCCAGGTTTAGGGTACCATCCTTGTGGACTTCATGTTCTCATCCTGATTTTTAAGCATTTTATGAATTTATCAAGACACAATGAATTTACCTGCGATTCATTATAAATCAGGGCTTATTTCAAATGCACGATGAAATTCAAGAGCTATCTATTGCTTAAAATATATGCTTTTGAAAAGAATCAATAATAGAGGCGTGCAATTTTGTTGTAGATTACTGGGCTAAGCCATGCTTGCAGAAAAAATGTTGACAATATAACAAAGTTAAAATTAGCATTAACTGTTTTTTTTTTTTAGGTGCCCCAAGAAGACCTAACAGTCTCGTCACAGAGTACCCCTGAAGTACATTTAACCAGGAAGTTCACGCCTCCTTGCTTAAAAAAAATTGTCACGGTAAGAAAGGAGCCGTGAACTTCTGGGGTGCTCTGTGACAAGACTGTTAGGTCTTCTTGGGCACCTAAAAAAATAAATAATAAAAAAACAGTTAATGCTAGTTTTAACTACGTTCAATTTTAACTGTTAATTGCCTGGAGTGTTCGGAAAGACACTATAATATTTGGAACTATTGCCCATAAGACATTGATAACAAAATGAAGTGTATGAAAGGTCTCTTGCGAAAATTAAATTATTTCTTCAAAGAAACGTCTTCAACTTAGAGGCCAATTTTCTGAGACACTGTAATAAACTTTTAATCTGCCTATGTGTGTAATTATAATAAAACAATTTATTGTTTGAACTATATTTACTTCCATGACGCAATTTTCAAAGACTTATAACTAAAAATTTAGAATTCAACAAACATTATCTTTACCCCAAGTTACATAAATTTTTATGCATAATTTGTAAGCATGGAGGCTAGCCATGGTAGACAATTTGCAGGACCTGCGAATTTGGGGGCGTTTTTCAAATTTAGGGGTCCTTTTCCAAATGTAAGGATTTTTTTTAGTAATACATCTACTAATGGAAGATTTTTAAGATTTTAACACCCTAATGACAATTTGGAGGGAGGGGGCTCTGACCCTTTAGCCACAGCACTGTTTGTATAGTATTTTCATCCCTATGTAAATTTGTTACTTAGTTTTTTTGATTAATATTTTAGTTTATAAAAGTCTTTCCTTTTAAAAACAAGTCTTTTTAATCTGTCGCAATAAACCATTTTACAAGAGATTTTTTACAACCTTTTTACCTTGAATTTTTTGTTTAATGAATTTAAACCTCTTTAAAAGAGACTTTTTTAAACCTTTTTACTTTGAGCCTTTTGTTTAATTAATTTAAACCTTTTTACAAGAGATTTTTTTTTTTTTAATTTAAACAATTTGAAATTAAGTACTTTGAACCTTTTTACAACAAATCTTAAGCTTAATCTTCAAATTTAAGAAATTTTTTCCTAATATCCAAAATAAATAATGTAAAACAGTAAATGTTAATCAGTTAATTATAATTGTATTATTTAGTAGTATATAGTATAAATTATTTATATTATTTTTCAAAACATCAGAAAATATGGTTTCTCTCAATGCAAATTTTATTTTAAAGCTTTTTGCTAGATTAAAAATACTAGCATCATCAGCTGATTAAATACTAAAATATTTTATAAGTTATTATTTAAAATGTTAAAATTTTAGAATCTTAAAATTATTAGTTATTTTCATATTAAGTATATTATTAATATAAAAAAATTAAAACAGAGTTATAATCATTTTGAAAATTTTAAAAATCTAGCTGCAATATTGTGATGCATTGAAGCTAAGAAAATCATTAGACAGAATAAAGTCTCAGCAGCGACAGGTTTTTTTTTGTTTATTAGCTCTTGTTAGATTTTTTTTTTTTTAAACTTTTTTATAGTTCATAGTGCTGCTTTTCATAAATTTTGTTAAACTAGTTTTGTTAAATTAATGAAATTTGTTTTGTATTAATTATTAATTTTGTATTAATAATTAATAATTGTAAAAAATGTTAAAAGAACATTTTGTTTTCAGTCAAATTTGTATTCAGAAGTTGATGTAAAGTACAAAATACATGAATGCTATATACAGTTAAAAGACTTTAAGCAAGCTATGTCCACTGTAAGTTAAAATTAATTTGAAATAATTTTTATTATTTTTAACCCTTTCAATCTCTGTGACTTGCTCTGTGTGTCTAACACTAGCGTGTCATAACAATATTTGACTATGTGATTTAGGCTGAAAAGGTTTAGATTTTTAAAAAAATTCTCTGTAAGTCAATTTTTAATTTACAACCTTTAAATCGTTCATAACATTGCAGTGTTATCATCTGCAGTGTTATCACCTGCATTTCACCTGCATTAATTTAATATTTTTTTACAGGAAGTGAAAGCGCTAATATATATTTGATAATAAATTAAAAAATTTTTTAACTTCTTTTATTTTATTTTTTTTTGTTATTTTTCCTTCTTGTTTTAAACTTAATTTATTACAAATTGACACCAAACAAGGGTGCTTGTAACAACATTTTCAAAATGTTGAAGTCAACGGCATGTATGCTTTACATGTTGAATTTATAAACTGTAATTCACTTTTAAATTGGAAATCTCGTGACAGCACATGTGACACTAGTGGCTTAAAGACTCACAGGCTCACATGAAGGTCTGCATTAGACATAAAGATGATAGGACTAGAAGTCTTTCAAGTATGCCTGGATTTTTTTCTAGAATAGGCCTATCATCAAACAGAAAAAATTTCATCACAAGATAAAAATGAACTAAATGATTCTATTTTATTGTTAAAACTGTATTTAATATATATATATATATATATATATATATATATATATATATATATATATATATATATATATATATATATATATATATATATATATATATATATATATATATATATATATATATATATATATATATATATATATACTCTTGCATGTCTCTTGCATGGCATCAAAAAAAGTTTCCCATAAACTGTAGTTTTAAAGAGCGCGTTAATAAACCAGACCAGAAAAAGTTTTTAAAAATTAAATTTTTTTTTTTAATTGATAGACTGCCTGGCCAAACCAAACCCTCAGTCAATGTAGCAGCACTCTCTTGCGAGTCAGGCTATTTGTCAGTCGTTGTAGCAGCACTCCCTTGCGAGTCAGGCTATTTGTCAGTCGATGTGAGCAGCATTCCCTTGCGAGTCAGGCTATTTGTCAGTCAATGTAGCAGCACTCCGTTGCGAGTCAGGCTATTTGTCAGTCGATGTAGCAGCACTCCGTTGCGAGTCAGGCTATAAGATAGTCGATGTAGCAACATTTACGCATGTTTTAAAAATGTTTTTTATTAAATCAATAACAAAAACACCACTAATTAAAAAAAACTTTCTAGTCGTTATAATTGCAGTTTTTTTAAAATTTTTTTAAAAAACAATTAAATTTAATGTACTTCCGCATAAATTAATTGCTTTGAGATTTCGATGACAATCAAAAACAGCTTAAGAGACGAGGTAATTAAAATTTTAGTCGAAAGAGACTTTTTTTACATTAAACGACTCTTTTGACTACACTATAAGGATATATATATATATATATATATATATATATATATATATATATATATATATATATATATATATATATATATATATATATATATATATATATATATAAATAAAGAAAACTATAGACCTAACCTATATGAGTGAAGGCATTTATTATTAATAACAGATACATAACCTACCTTTATCTTTGTCTGCAGCTCTCTGTTGGAATATTATATTAATTATTTTC